CCACTCGGACAGCTTGAGAATTTATAGCAAACTATTGTTGGATCTGTATCTTAGATATTACTCAAGTGCAAGCTTCTGTTTTCTAGGACAAAGGAAATAAAACCATGGCTATTAAAAGGGTTTTTATTAACTTTTGTATTTTGATTCAACTTGGTTTCATATGAAAAGAATGAAAGCAGCATAAAGATCAATGGTTATCCTTGTGACTCTGGCAAGTTACTTAACTTCTCCGAGCCTCATTGTGAGCAGCAGTAAAATAAGACTAGCAGGACCAACTCCATACAGTTTGCTGAGGATTAGATGAGGTAGTTCACGTTAACTGCTTAATTACATGCCTGGTACATGGGAAGTCTTAGCAAAGCTTATCCTATAATTTTATTGATTTAAATTTTAGAGTCAATAAGTCAATTCTGTAAATTATTCATAGATATCTGTACTCTTGGGATGTATCGTATGTTCTATTTCCTCTTTTTCCTTTGGAGGAAACTAGATTCCCAGTAAGCCTTCGTATACTTTGTATACCCAAAATTACCTCATAGGCTGTGTAATGTTAACTAATCGAACCTATATCACTACAAAGAATCTCTTTTAATCTTTTAAATATGCTATTGTATCCTCTGCTGTTAGAGGCTAAAAGTACAGGCTGTAGGACAGACTGCCTAACCTTAAAGTCCTGATTCTAATACCACTTCAGTTTTTTCTTCTTTAAAATGGGAATGGCATAAGTACCTACCTAAAAGTGTCATTTTGAGAATCAAATGAAATAACATGTATAAAACATAGTTATTTTAGCTGATTGATGATTTTCATGATATTAGTTTTATTTTTACTCCAATTATTTTATAACTAGTGATATACTTACTCTGCCTATATATAATATGAAGAAAACCTTTCTTCTACTGTTATTTAAATGCAAAAATACTGAATTATGGTATTATATTTGTGTTTGCTCAACAAGTATTTATTTAGCATCCTAGCTGGATGAAACACTACATACGGAATAATAAAACTATGCTGATGATTCATATACAACTTGTGTGTGATTCCCATATGTTTTCTGCCAGATGTTTTTTCTCATTTTGTATATATATATATGTATATATTTTTAATTGTTGAATGTTCGAGAAAGGATACTAAGCATTGTATAAGAATCAGTGAATTAAAAGATAAGCATCTTCTCACAGATAATATTTATATCACGAGAAAAGATGAAACTACATAAACTCAGTAATTCAGTAGAAATACCAAAGCTCTCAAAATCATTATGGTATTCAATGTCCCATTAGTGGTGTAAAAAATAGATGCTCTGGCCAAGCTCAATGGCTGTCTGTCATTTCAGCAATTTGGGAGACCAAGGTGAGAGGATTTCTTGAGCCCAGGAGGTCGAGACCAGCCTAGGCACCATAGTGAGACCTCATCTCCACAAAAAATAAAAATAATAATAAATTAAAAAGAGAAAACTTTAACTGGGCATGATAACATGTGCCTGTAGTCCCACCTACTTGGAGGTCGAGGCTGGTGAGCTGTGCTCATAACAATGCACTCCAGAGTGACAGTGTGAGACCCCGACCAAAAGAAAAAAAAAGAAAAGAGAAAGAAAATAGATACTCTGTATTCAGAAGACAAAAGATGATTGCAGATTACAAGAGTTTTGGTGTTTTTTTCCTTTGATCTCATGATAATTCTCTACAAACTGATCTTTAAAGATGATTATTTTGTATTATAAAATATTAGTTTATTACAAAATATAAGCAATGTGAAAGAGTGGAAAAACAAAAGAAGGCCATAAATCTCTCTTTCATGTAAAAAAAACTGTTACTAACAACTGATAGAATTATTTTGGGTAGATAGGCAAGTAGTGATTACTTAAGATTTTATTTTACATGCCATTTTATTTTTTTGTTTTATTTTTATTTGTTTTTGAGTCAGGGTTTCATTTTGTCACCCAGGCTGTAGTGCAATGTCATGATCATGGCTCACCACACCTCAACCTTCCATCTCAATACTTCCACCTCAGCCTGGTCCGTATCTGGGACTCCAAGTGCACACCACTATGTCCAGCTAATCTAATTATTATTGTTGTTGTTATTATTATTATTATTGTAGAGATGAACTCCCTCTATGCCTAGTATGGTCTCAAACTCCAGATTGAGGCAGTAGTCCTATCTTTGCTTCTGAAAGTGTTGAGAATACAGGTGTGAGTCACCACACCTGGCCCCTTCTATTTAAATGTTGACTACGGTTACACTTTCATATAGAAAATGATAAAATGTCTACAGTGAAAATCAACAGTCTTCTGCTCTCCCCTTCCTCAAACACCATTCCACTTTTTTCATAGAATCTTAGGAACCATATTTTTTTCAAATGGTGTTTTTTGTCCTATTCCATATTTCAGAAAGATACAATTATGCTGCTATTTCTTGATTTACTAATTTTAACTATTATCTGTTGGCTTCCTGTAATATGTTAGATAAGGACTTAAATCTCTTTTTCTGTCTGACTCTTATTTTCCAAAATGTTTAGTTAGATCATTCCTTTTTTATGTTGTTATGATTGTATATACACACCATTAATCAAAATAGTATATATAGTCTGCTTTATTTGTTTTTTTGCTTTGATTTTCTGGAATTTATATTTACTTTAATTTTATGTGCAAAATGTGGCAATATACCTATCTTTAATTATTTTTTAAAATGTCCTATTAGGACTGCCAAATCTCTGTTATTAGCATTTTTTTCTTAAAATTTCAAATACATGTGATAATATTACAATTGTTTTATTGATTTCCTGTGGTTTTCCCTCCCAAAATCATCTTTCTTTGAGAAGTTCCTCCTCATCTCTAGGCCTCTTGCACTATGGTCTTCCTGGACCTTTCTTTGTATACTTTCTTTCTTTGGATACTTTTCCTTTAATTTACTGGTTTACTGCAGTGTAATCTGCACATAATCTAAGGTATGTAAAAGAAGGAATTTTTATATATGTACACATATATAAAATATAATAACCACATAGATAAGATATAGAACATTTTTAGACCCTTAGCAGGCTTCCTTATGCTTGTTCTTACTCAAATATTCTTGTCTGTATCACCATGCACCAAATTTTTCTGCTTCAGAAGTTTATATAAATAAAATCGTGTAGTATACATGCTTTCTTTTTTCACTTAGTATTATCTCTAGATTCATCCATGTTGTATGTAGCATTGGTTCATGTGTTGTCACTGCTCTGGGCAATATTTTATTGTATGAATATACTGTAAAAATTAGTTTTCTAAGAACTTCTTATTATAGTTTATGATAATCTGCCTTGAAATTGCTCTGAAGAAATCAAGAACAACTTAATATCTTTCTTCTTGTTGGTGATTTGTTTTTCCTTACTGGATATGTGAAAAAGTTTCATAATAATCATTAAACCAAGTGTAATTTGATCAACATAGCTTTTCTTAGCAATTATTTTTGGTACCCATTTGTGCCCCTCTGATACCTAGAAATTGTTCCTTTATCTACTAATTTCAAGGTATTTTTAATCTATTAAAATTATTTAATACTTTGCAATTTTTTTTTTTTTTTTGAGTCAGAATCTCACTCTGTTGCCCAGACTGGAGTGCAGTGGCCGCTCCCGGCCACCGCAGCCTCGACCTGCTGGGCTCCGGCGATCCTTCCACCTCAGCCTTCCAAGTAGCCGGAATTACAGGCATGCGCCACCACACCCGGTTGATTTTTTTTTTGAATTTATTGTAGAGATGAGTTCTTCCTGCCCAGGCGGGTCTCGAACCCGCGGGCTCAGGCAATCCACTCACCTCACCCTCCCAAAGCGCTGAGATTACAGGCTGAGCCACTGAGCTCGGCTTACTTTACAATATTTTAATGTGTATTTTGTTCTCCTTCACTTCAGGTTTTTAGATGACTCTTACATTGAATGTTTTCTTTTTTTGACTCTTGTGCAGAAATATCGTATTTTCACCATTTGTATTGATCTTGCTTAATCTTATTTCTTCATGTTTGCATTTACTTTTAGGCCAGAAATTAAAATATTATTTATGTCTAATCTAACCATTGCTTTTTCTAATTTATTTATTATCTGGGTAATGGTATTACTTTGCCCCTCAAGTTGTCTCCCTGTTTATTATACACTTTCATATTACTCTTTGTAAAAACTACATCAACTTGTCATTGAGTTTTGCTCTTAATTAATCCATGATCTTTTTTATACTGTGTGTTACAGGTTTTTAGAGTTTTTCTTCTCTACTTATGATTTCCACTAGTCTTTGTCTGCTGTGTTACTTTATTATGATGATCATTATTATTATTGTTAATATTATTTGCTATAGTCTCTTCCCATAGCCACCAATTACTATTGCTATTCTTTCATCTTGTCATATGTTTCTCTCAGTTTAGACTTTTTATTTGTATATTTCATGGGCAAATTATCCTTTAAATTTCTCCCTATATTATGTGGTACTTTTTATTTTTTCTCCGAGCTACAATTTGAAAGACAGAATCTATATTCCACACATTTTTTATGGCCTGAGGGAAAAGAGAAGGAAAAAGAAAACTTGTGTGATGCTCTAGCTGTAGCCTTCATTAAGACCCTGTTAAATGTTCTTTCTTAGTAAGGTCTCTCTCCTCTGCCCAAGGGTATGGTTGAGTTTGTGAAATTTGATGGATTTTCCCTACTGGCAGTCATACTTGGGAGCCTAGTGTCTATAATTTCTTATTTGTTCAATCTACCATAAGGTCTCTCATTTATTTCTGCAGAGCACCCTAGATTTACATTTGTTTAGTGAGTACAGAGTAGACCCACACAAAGCATGAACTGTATTATATCTTAATGATTACTTTAATCCTATATGATTATGATGGGGATTATATGACGTATATTATTGCTCTCTGGTATAAGCAAATGTATGTATTGCCTAAAGAGCATCTTTAAAAATTTCTAGAAATAAAAAATCTAACCTGCTGTTAGCATTGCAAATGTAAAACTAATGCATCATTCTTTATTTTTCCAGGAACTACAAAAGACATCATAATGATACATGAGAAAGATGCTGAGGAATGGGCTATATACTTGAGAGAAGTTTTTCTACATGTTGTGCAAAGGGAAGCAATCCTATTATATTGCTTGGAAAATTTCTCTCTTTGGCATTTGGAGCTGCTGAACTTAACCTCTTACAAATGTAAACTTTTGATATTATCAAATGGCCTGCTTAAAGACCTAACTCCAAAGAAATGTCAGTTTCTGGAAAAGATGCTTCATTCATCAGACAGTGTAGTCAGTCTGCTTTGTGGGGTTAAACATTCAGATCAGCTCTACAAATTATTAAATATCTCTGGAAGCAGATGGGAGATCTCAACTGAGCAGGAGCCTGAAGACTACATCTCTGTAATTCAGAATATCATATTCAGAGGTAGGGTTGCCAAATCTTCTTGATTTTTTGCCTTTACTTTTATTATTTTTTATATAAAATTTAAAATTATTTTTTAACTAATGAATATTTTATACTAGGATAAAAAAGCAGAAAAATGAAAGCCAATTTTATTTAGCAGTATGTTGTACTTTCCACAAAATGCATTAAGGGTCTTAATTTTTAGCTTTATTCCAATCAAGGATTATTCATTTTTTTCTAAAAATAGTTTATAAATATATTTCTTAGGACAGACATGCTATGCTATGCTATGCCAGTTTGGTTATGGAAACTGGTTTCTTATGTAACTGGTGAGGTTTGAGTTAATATTACCCATCCTAGTATTGTTACCAGTCAGTAGCTATTCAAAATTTGAAGGGCTAGGTTAGAATTACAGAGCTTCTGTTGTACTGATAATGTATGATATCTATTATGATGGTATACAATACTGTTATTTTTATTCGATTTAAATAGCAAATTTAATTTTAAGCATAGAATCTTTACGTAAAATAGAAGAGCACAAGGTCCCATTTATTAATTAATTACATTTTTTATGTCACCTTCAAAACCCTAAAGCTTACTAATGTCAAAGCTTCTCCCTTCCACAATCCTATTCTGCTTGGTATAAAAGGGATGCTGTGATCAGTTGCTTCTCTCATTTTCTTAACCTTCAGTTTGCCTTTAACTCTCAGTCTTTCAGCTATGTTTTCATCCCCTTAAGGGAAGGGATAGAGCTCTTATTTGTACTGGCCACATCAGATATTAAAATTGGCTCTTTTTCTTGGAGCACATTTCTGGGTTCTATGGAGATTCATTATTCACTGGAATTGTCTCGCTCGCATGCCTTAATGAAACAAATTATCTCCTCTTCTGTAAGTTGATTGTCCAACCCATATAGATTTTTATCATTCATTCTTCAAGTATCTTTTATGGTCAAAATCACACTGAGATGTTTCCTGGCTGAGTGTTTCTCCCACCTGGTCCACATCTGTCTGAAGGTAAACCTTCCTTCTTTTTATTTATCTTTTGACCTGACAGATTCTAGGCATGAAAGCCATTCCCATTGTAGCCACCACCATCCTGCTCTCTGAGCAGCAATACAGCCACAGTATTTTGCCTTTAGTATTTACAAACATGGACCCAACACAAGTGTTGGCATTGTGTAGATCCAGGGAACCTATATCAGTCCCAAATAGACACACTAGTCTGTGTTTGCTGGAAGCCCTTCCCACCTGAGGAGGGTAATATACCTCACTCTTGCTCAATAGGAATCAACTCCCTTTGAAAAAAAATCTTCTAATTTTACAGTACCATAATCTTTCTATTGCTGCATAACACATTTCTCTAAATTTTAGCAACAATCAACAATGATTATATCATAGTGTCTATGGTTCAGGTATCTGGGAGTGGCTTAGCTTGGCAGTTTCCTTTATTATTGTGTTTGTGTTTGATTGGTTGAAGATCACCTCTAACAGATTCCCAAGGAAGGCCCAACGTTTCTGATTTGGGGCATTTTCAAGTGTTTGTGTCTTGCCTTACACTTGAAGTAGAGTTTGTCTGAGGACGGTATTATTCTTATTCTTCCTTCCAGCATTGTAGAATTAGAGAATTTGAATTTGCTTGGTTAACTAAAGGATTTTTCATTTACAGTTGAAGCCTAGTGACTTCACTAGAAAGTTATCTTAGTTCTGACTGCTCTGGGACATGCTTTCTGTTTTTGTGTTTATTTTTTTCTCAAAATGTAGATTCAGGTCTTATTTTATTTCATGAACAATTTCTTAACTTATATCAACATATTTGATCTGTCTTATTATTATGATTTTATTATCCAGGGATTCCTTTAATATGTATTTTGGATTTCTTTAGTCTGTGTTGTACTCTATAATTTCTCTCTAATCCTTTTTCTTCATTAACACCTAATTCACTTAGTTTGCATTTTCACTTCAACTTCTGCTACCATCTTATACTTTCATTAGTCTCTCTTTCTCTGTATTATTTCCATTTACTTTCATTTTTATAATACTTTTACTTTTTTCTATTGTACCGTTTGGTTGAGCACTTGAAGCTTGCAATTCATATCTTGTTCTTATCTTGCTCACTTCTCCCTGACCCCTTGTATTTCTGTACAGTACAATTGCTTCAAAAAGGTGATTGTAAATTATTACATTTTAAAAATTCATGGTGAAATATTTGGTCACAATTTTCAGCTTTGTTTATAACAATGTGTTTTTAGTTTGTGCTTCCCATGTACTGTTGGTTTCTCTCTCTCTGTGTGTGTGTGTGTGTGTGTGTGTGTGTGTGTGTGTGTGTGTGTCCCTTCTCTTGAAGTATCTTTACATATATTCTGCACTGGTTCAGTTTTTCATCTGTGTTACTGAGCAAAGTGATTTTTTGGGGGTGTGGAGGGGGCTCCAGCCAATGGAGATAGGCAGTGTGATTTTTGTTGCTTGTTCTGTTTTGTTGTTGTTTTACTTCTCTGCTTCCACACATGTAAATTGGTTTCTATATTATTTCTTTTCTGTACAGTTCCTCATTTAGCCTCACTTTTTCTGCTTTTTTGGAACCAAATTGCTTCCATAAGTGCTCTTACCTCAATCTTTACAAACTGTCTACAGTGAAAACAAAGCAAGTGCCCCTAGCCTTAGAGGAAGGTGTTTATTCTATATATCTTTTCTATATCTTTTTTTTCTATATCTGCAGCTTCTGGATTATTTCTTCAAGGTTTATTTTCTGTTTCCTCCTGCACACCTTTATATTCAATCACCACTGTTTTAGGAACATTCCATTTATCTTGGGCTCTAGAAATTCACTCTTTTCTATTTTCACTAAATAGAACATTTACATAATTGTTTTTCATCGGTTATGTGTCAGGATGACTTCCAAGAGTAAAAAGGGGAAACATTAACTATGCTCCACAATTTTCGAGCTGAAAGTTATCAAGTTTCTTTTAATCTTGCTCTCTCTCTCTCTCTCTCACCTTTTCTTTTTTAGTATTCCTCAAATACATTAATATTTTGGGGGATGAAAAGAAAAAAATTTACAATTGGAAAATTATGTGAAAAAATATTACAATAAAGTGCATATAAAGTACAAGTAATCTTATGCTACTTTTCTTCCCTAAGACAGAGGAGCACTGAAGATTGTTGACAAAATTTTAAGTGGTCCCTCACACTCATGGTTTCTATTTCCTCAAAGAACTCATGTTGTTTTTGCCACTTTAGTTATGATGTTATTATTACATAAAAGTGTTGAAGAAATACCTTTTGGTTGTTTTAGTTATTTCATTTTATGATGAGTATCTTTGGGTGAATATGAAAATGGTATACTGCTACATATTCAAATTATATTTCTATTCATTCTATTCATAGTTCACACTTTATAGATAACAAAGCACTATTTTGAAGACACTACTAGACTCACCTTCCCACATTCAAGTTTTGGACTCTAATTTCTTAGAGTAACTTTGATGTACCACTTGAAAATATAATCATGTTTTTTGAAAAAGTGTGCTCAAATATGATATATTTATCTGAATGAAATACATTACAATGTAGGTGTATTTCCGACCATGTATTGGAAAAATAACCTTCATGTATGGGTTGTATGCCTTGACAAAATTGGAACTAATTGCCATAGTCTATGCAGTAATAAATTTGCTTAAGTCCTCTGCTAAATTACTTTATGTTTTATGTTGCCATTCATGTTGAATAGGTATTCTGGTTTTCAACATTGAGATTAATGTTAAAAAAGAAGGGTGGAATAGAACAAAGGATATGGAATAGGATGTTTACTATCCCTTTTCTACATTCCCTAGAAAAATTATACAAAGAATAAGACAAACTTATGATCCATAAACATGCTATAAAAAATAATAAAAATGCCAGGGAAGTCATGGAAATAATTAAATGTTCTAATATAGTCACACAAGACAAAGAAAAATCAGAGGAAATTTTATAAAGTGTAATAAAAGAGAAATATATTTAATAGTTAAGACTTGAGAGAAAAGTTTTTAATATTAAAAAAAGTTTTTTAAAAGATACAATAGTTCATGTTTTTTTGAGTATTTTATTTCTTTTTAAGGAATTTTAAAAAACTATATTTCCTATCTCCTTAGTTCTCAAATTGGGAATAATACAAATCCAGGTATAGTTCTCCTTTTTTGTGTGTTTTATAATCATTTTGATGACATTTCTTCCTTTGTCTGTCATTTCTCTTGATTCTTTACTTAGTATTCTCCCTCTGATCCTTCCACATTTTAGGTTTCATACAGCATTGTTTATATGTAATACAAATAATCTGATCTCAAATTTACATAAAATCAACTAACATTTCTGCTTTACTATTGAGTGTAGTAGTCCTCCCTTTAAGGGAGAATGTTCGCCAGTTTCTAGGACCGTAGCACTTCTCCTGGCTCTTTTTCCTTTGCTCTTTATTCTTTATTCTACCACTTTCTACCTCTGGACCAGGCACTCTGGTTTACTGTCAGCACCTAAATTACTACTAACCAACAGCTCTCTCCTGGCTTATTTTCTCATATTTTCTTCACTGTCAAATAATAGAAAAAACTGATAATTCTTTCTTGAAGAATCTTAACATTTCCATTTTTTAATGTTATCAAACCAATGGTTTTGAATTTTTGGCTTATTAAACTAAAAAGAAGAAACCTAAAAGGAAGAGTAGCAGTACAATAGCAGAGTTATTAGAAAGGCAAAGCAAACAACACAAGCAATAAAACAGAAACAAACCATGTAGAAGCATTATTTTCCTTTCTTCCTATCTGAGCTGTGTGTTGCCTCAGAGGTATGGTTCACTGGGCCTGCTCAAAACTTGTCAATGAAATTTCATGGTCTTTTAAATGAAACCCATCCTTTTTGGACTGGCCTTTCAGCTCCTTGAAGACATAGCTCCAGCATAGATGCCCAAGCCATTTATGTCACCAGCGTTGGTGCAGGCACATGCCTATACTAGAATAATTGTATCCTTTCCCACTGAACAAACACAGC